TTTTTCTTGTATATTATATGAAAACATGTGTTTTGATAAAAAAAAAGTAATTTTACATTGTATGGATTTGAAGTATAAAATAAAAATAAAATAACCTGAAAAATGAAATAACCGAAAAGTACATTGACCCAAAATTGTGCAATATTTCTTTTCTTTTTTCCTTCAGGGAAATAATTCTTATACTCTGTTTTTTATTATTTTGACCTACCCTCTGGCAGGTTCTGTATTTCTGTATTTCTCAGGTAATTCAAAGTTGCAAAAAATAATAAGTTAAGTAACAAAAGGCCCCCATGTGCTTTGCTGTGGGCAATAAAATGATGAAACCCACCTCTGGTGGCTGAATTTCAGTTATGCTTGTTTTAAATGAATAATTTTAAAACAGTCTGATTTTATTTCTTCAATACAAAACAATAAACTCTATTTGAGGACTACCATTAAATAACATCCTCCCTCCAAACAAAAGCTAAAAGGTGAGCAGACTGTTGTCCTTTGCACCTCATGTAAATATCTGGAAACCTTTGGACCATTCTCCTACTACAGATCAGTCAGGCCACAGAGCCACTATGACCACCTCTGTTTTATTTAAAGAGCTTCTTGTTGGTTATTTGATGCCAGAGAAATGCTTCAACGAGTTTTTTGTTAACTTTCATGCCCACTGTGAGGTTTTACAACTTGTGTCTACTATTAAACACTTTTAGTTCTCCAGGATCACAGTCTCATTTTAAAACAAGTTTTAATTTCTTTCTCTCACAGTGCCATGTTTGAAGTTCGTTCTCAATAGAGCTGCTGGGTTTTGGATCCTGCTGGACACATTTCTGGGTAAGAATTCAACATCAGCGTCTTTTTACGTCCACATCTTCGTGTTTGATTTCTGAAGATGTGAGAGCTTGAACTTCCTCACTGAGTTCAGTATTCTAACAAACTTTCACTCAGTGTTGATAAGAAACTGACTTCATCAGTGGGACTGAAGACACGGTGTTTCTCACGTCCTCTGTCTGCAAATGTTTCGCTGCAGTCATGTTTTATGACGAAATTTAGAATTTCTTAAAAGCTGCGATCAGAGTTGCTAAATGTAACTGATTACATGTTATTTTACAATAAACTCATAATTATGTGGTGCCTAGTGTAAAATAAAATGTCACAAAATGTTACTACTCATTAGATATTTAGCTCACTTTCTGAGTAAAATTCAAGTTAAAAATCTTTGCTAATATTTTACTGTTATTTAGCTCCCTGTTCTTACATTTTGAAAATTGTAATTAAATGTTAAGATGTTAAATGTTATGTGTAAATGTTAAATCTTAAATCTAAATGTAAAATTAAATCTTAAATGTTGAAGTTTACATTTCAGTATTTCAGAATGGAAAGCATTGCTATTGGTGCTCAGTTCTTGTTAGGATGTCATCATCCTGAGACAATAGCAAACACTAACACTGCTAACGCTGCTAACGGTTCACTACAAAACATCAAAGTTGTAGATGCGGCCGGTGTCCGAGCTGCACTTCAAACTGCCGGACTACAGGTACCATCCATGCTGTTTTCAATGAACACGTTTAGATTTTAAATGCCATCGTCAGCATCATTAGCTTTTGATTTTGTCACAGGATGCTAACGCTGCTGAAAGTGAAGCTTGGTCACTGGCTGCAACTAGAGTGATGTCTTGTTAGCAGCATTGCCGGTTTCTCTTGTCTCGGGATGATGATGTCACAATAAGAGCTGAGCACCAGCAGCAAGTGTTGCATTCAAAAATACTTCAATATTTAGCCACAACATTTAAAATTCAACTTTCACATTTGGATTTACATATTTAGATTCAGGATTTATCATTTAGACATAACATTTAAATTTAATATTTAGCAAAAAATTTGTAAAAGAGCAGTTTGATAAATAACAATAAAATATCAGTGAATTTTTTAATGCGATTTTACATTCAGAAAGTGTGATAAATATTAAAAATGTTAGTGACATTTTATTTTACACAATTAGAATAATCTTTTTCAACAAGCCTGTACAACGAAGTTAAACATTCCTTGTTAAAACAAATAATAAGTAATTATATTTAGACAGAATGATGTTTTTTTTCTTCTTGCAGGCCAAACACCTCAGCTGCTGAAGATCCTGTGGAGAGGAAGTTCTGAGGGTTTGAGCCTGACCTCGTTGCTGCTGCAGCTTTATGCTCTGTCATGTCCGGTTGTCTATGCCTTGGCCAACAACTTCCCATTTTTGTAAGAAAGTGATAACCTGAAAGTAAACATCAGATGAAGGATTTTCAAACACACTGGTTCCATTAGTGTCCAAACAGCAGCTGAAAGAAGGTTTCTGTTTTTCATCTATCTCTCTGTTTGTTCTTGAACCTCTCCATAGCTCCTGGGCTGACAGAATCTTCGTGTTGTCTCAGACAGCCACCATCATCTTCCTCATCCTGCATCATCGTGGCTGTACTTTCAAAGGTCAGCAGCTAAAGGCACCTTGAAAAAAAAGTGTTTCTGACAGGTTCAGATCAGGTTAAATCTACAAATGAAATGCCAGATACTCTGTGTTTTTAATAATATCTTTATTATTGTTATGTGTGTTGTCTGTTAGCAAAATATCTCACAAACCACTCAAAAGATTTTTATGAGACATTCAATAAATAATCAATGAGTGTTTTTATTTTAAAAAATGACCATTCTGGAGTCAACCTCATTCAAGATGGCCGCCACATTCAGCTGAATGTTGGAAACACAAAAAATGGCTGTAACTGTCAAATTTGGTGTGGTAGTAGCTGAGAGTCAAACTCATAACATACTTTGAGGACAAAAACATCTAACATTTCCCTTAGATCTGGCATAAAATCAACGTCAAGGTTTAAAAAAACTCACGGCAGGTTTAAACCTCCATCCATCCATTTTCTTCCTCCTATCCRGGGTCGGGTCGCGGGGGCAGCAGCTTCAGAAGGGAGGCCCAGACCTCCCTCTCCCCAGCCACTTCTTCCAGCTCCTCCAGGGGAACTCCAAGGCGTTCCCAGGCCAGCCGAGAGACATAGTCCCTCCAGCGTGTCCTGGGTCTTCCTCGGGGCCTCCTCCTGGTGGGACGTGCCCGGAATACCTCACCAGGGAGGCGTCCAGGAGGCATCCTTACCAGATGCCTGAGCCACCTCAACTGGCTCCTCTCGACGTGGAGGAGCAACGGCTCTACTCTGAGTCCCTCCCGGATGACCGAGCTTCTCACCCTATCTCTAAGGGAGAGCCCAGCCACCCTGCAGAGGAAACCCATTTCGGCCGCTTGTATCCGGGACCTCGTTCTTTCGGTCATGACCCAAAGCTCATGACCATAGATGAGGGTAGGAACGTAGATCGACCGGTAAATCGAGAGCTTCGCTTTCTGACTCAGCTCTCTCTTCACCACGACGGACCGGTACAGTGCCCGCTTTACAGCAGACGCTGCGCCAATCCGCCTGTCGACCTCCCGCTCCCTTCTTCCCCCATTCGTGAAGAAGATCCTCAGATACTTAAACTCCTCCACTTGAGACAGGGYGACCCCCCTGACCYGGAGAAGGCACTCTRCCCTTTTCCGGCTCAAGACCATGGYCTCGGATTTGGAGGCACTGAGCCTCATCCCGGCCGCTTCGCACTCGGCCGTGAACCGCTCCAGCGAGAGCTGCAGATCACGTTCCGATGAAGCCAACAGGACCACATCATCCGCAAAAAACAGAGGTGTGATCCTAGAGATCCTACAGRTTTAAACCTATTTAACACATTTGAAATATTTCACAAATTCCAAAAAACAAGCTGCTCTAATAAAAACAATAAAATTTAATTTTCTTTAATATAAATTTTAATGATAAACTAAAGAATTACTCTGGATTACAGGATTGTTTTGTCTTATTTGGAGATTTCCAATTTTTGTCTTTTCCATTCATCTGACCGGTTTTGTTGCACTTTGTCAGAATCCAGATGGAAATATTGCAACAATTCCTGAAATTGAAGGAGGGATTGTTTTTTTTTTGTTTGTTTTTTTTGGCCAGGCCTGCTGCTCCTCCTTGGTTTCGGGGGTATGATGCTCCTCCTGGGTTTATCTGCAGCTGTTGTCTCACTGATGGATGTCTCCTCTGTTGCAGCTTTAATTGCGAGCAAGGTTTAAACTGATTTTTCTTTCCATGAGCACATTCCTGGTTCTGTTTCAGGATCAGTGTGACCCGRCAGTGTGAATATGTGTTTTTGCTGTTTCCAGGCTGCACAAGCTGTGACAAACCACCAGAACGGACACACGGGTCAGCTGTCTGCCCTGTCCTTGTCCYTGAATTGGACAGGATCTGTGAGCGTTGCTGCTGTTTGTCTACAGGTCTGCAGGCACAAARACAAAGCTGCAAGGTTTAATTCTCATCAGTTGGTTTTGATATTGTTTGAAATTTATTTCTTTCAGAGGACTGGAATATCTCTCATCAGTCTGTCCCACATCCTGTCCTCATGTCTCAGCTTTGTCCTGCTGTCTCAGGTCCTCTGCTGCAGCTGCAGCTCTGCTGAGGCCTCAAAGAAGACAGATTAGCAGAGAAGATGTGTTGACTCATTACATACAGGAAATATTTACTTCTTCTTTATGTGCTGCTGTGTTTAAATGCTGCTCAGGTTCTCAGGATCATGTGGATTGTTTCTTTTTTTTTAAGCCTGCTGTAGGAACCAGTTTTTAATAGTTGTAACTGAAAGCCCTSTGTCGCCCTCTAGTGGTTAAAATAATCAAAACTAAACCATGAGGAAAACAGACTGAAAACTGATGAGTAAACTTTGGTAAATTCAAATAATCCTGGTTATTATTATTATTATTTGTCTGTTTCTGTAGTCAAAATATCTCCTAAATTACTGAATGTCTCTTAATGGTTTCAGAGGGTGTTTTCTGGTATTTCAACATCACACCCCTCCCAGGTGAAGTGATCACTTCCCAGCTTGTGTCCAAGAAGCTTTAAACAGCTGCCTGTCCCTCGTGAWCCACAACCACCATCTGAGGCTCTACTGACATTCAGTCAAAAGTCACAGGACAACCTTTTATTTCAGAAAGAATAAAGAAAATTTAATATCTGAATACTCCAATAAGTGAGRGGGTATCTTATATGCATAACATGGCTGCCATATTGGTAAGATAGCCCCCSATCCATTACTTGCTTGAGTATTCAGAAAAGTGTCCTGAGACTTCTGACTCACCCTGTACTTTAACACTAAAGAAGCTGCAGGCCCTGTGTTCATGCTCCTACTCCCTACTTCCATGAGCATACATGGAGTTCACCAACCAAATCTGCAGCAAATAGCCTCCTCCATCCTGTCCCTCCTAATGCACTGTACTCTGGAGACACAGCTACTCTGTTGCACCTCAGTCGTGGAGCTCAACTTCTCCAATATCAGGATGGAGTAGGGTGAAGAGGCTGCAGGTCCAGATGGTGCCAGTTTAAGGTTCTGAAAGCTTCACATTAAAAAAATCTCTTGAGGAAAGGGGCCCAGCTCTGCCTTGTTTGAGGACAGAAACCTCCAAACATCCTGGACTAAAGTCAGCAGGTGACACCTTCAGCACCAATCAGAAAGCCAGAATATGACAAAGATAAAAAAACATGTTTTTGTTGTGTAAGTAAGTTAAAATAAACACGACTTTAGTCAATAAAAAAGTTATTTTATTTCCATTACACAAAAATAATAAAAAGTCATTTCAGGTTCACATATTTCTGAAATGTTTCTGTGTAACATTCATTAATGCTGTTCAGCTTTTCTACCTGTCTGTTTTTACACAGCTTTAAAATAACACCATCTCATGTATAGAAGGCAATTATCTCTAAATGACCTTAAAATGTTCCAAAAATACACATCTATATTGTAAATATTTATTAAATTTATGAACAGGTTTTCTTCCTAGTGGGGGGAAATAAAATCGATTTACAGAGACGCGCGTCTTTTTGTCTGAACATGTTGGCACAATTTCCTGAGATTTTACTGAAGCAGCTGCAAAAAGCTTTGGTCAAAATAGAACGAGGAGGAACTACAACACATGAAGGTACTTCCCATCGTTTCATCCATCAGTAACAGGCAGGAACGTTTTATGGCACTCACTTTGGCATTACAGGTTTTTCTTTTTAAATGAGATCCTTTCTGGTCACAAGTATATTTACTTCAAATACAGACTTTAATGCTCTAATGTTATGTAAAATATTAAATACACAACAGAGCACCTGGTTAGTTTTACTAAAATTCAAAACTTTACAGTACAAATGAGTGTGATCACAATGAAGAGGCAAGGTTGCTCTTTTTTTGAAAACCAGTTACCTCTGCTGAAAGTGCATCGTMTCTATGAGAGGATTAAAAACTTCACTTTATTAAAAATAATTCAGCAAACTGATGCAGCAGGTTTCACACATTCACTGACAAACACACGGTGCTGTAAATAAATAAGATCACACACAGAAAGATGTCTGAAGCACCAGAGGTCGCATTTATGTTT